GTGAACACTCGGAAAAAACGGTACCCTCACCGGAATGGGGTCACTGGGGAACCTAGAACCCCAAGCCCTAGTTGCTAGTTTGAGCCTCTGGGAATAAGGGAATAGAACCCCTACAAAAACCCCTATATAACCCCTATATTACGTATTCCCTTATTCCCTACTAAGAACCAGTAAGTAGACCGCTAGAAGTCCCTTAAACCCTACACCCCTAACTCGCTAAACAAGCAACCCCCTGAACCGTAAAACCCTTAAACTCTACACCGCTAACTCCCTACATTACACCCTAGATCCTCAACCCTGAGCCCTAAGCCCTGAATGGATGCCTTCACCTGTTTTCTCAGGGCTGAAACTAGAATGCCAGTGATGTCGACTCTTGTGAAGCAGGGGTTGAGGATTCGTGTGAACTTGAAAGGCTGTGCGGATGCCTTAGTCTGAGGGGAGCTTTTGACCTGGATGCACAGCTGGATCTGGGTTCTTATGAACCGTGCTCATGTAGCATCGCCAAGGATATAATCTGAGGAGAAAAGGTCCGATAAAAAAGAAACTTGAGCTCTATTTCAATCCTCTCGAGTGTTTTCTGGCGAGGCAAGCAATCAGCTCGCGCTGGTGCGGAAGATCTGTGAGGTGAAAGTGGGATGTAGGGTTTAGGATTTAGGGTTTAGGGCTTAAGGTTTAGGTTTAGGGTTTAGGGAGTTTTTTGGAAAACCGGGAGTTCTAGGGACTCTCAGGGTATGTGGAGGGTGATCACAGTCTGGGATTTCAAAAGGGACCATCTTCTTGTTTCAAACTTATAGTTCCCCTGAGGTAGACAGAATATGGGGTATGCGGGGATCTTATTTCAATATACCCAAAGCCATATCCTATCTACTTAAGGGCCTTAAGGGCATCTATAAGTTCGAGATGCGCTTATGTGGCGTGATTGGTCTTGAAGTGCACGTTTCTCGCTAGCTCTGCGTGTGACAGATCTTTCGCGGCTTGTTGTGGCAAAACCCTAAAGCCTAAACCCTAGTAGCAATTTGAGTTCTTATAGCGTTTTTCACAGCAATTGCTAGGGCCACCCGCGGCAGTGGTGGTGGTGGTGTTGGCAATTCTAGTGCTAGTACGGATGCTACTAGGACTTCTGCTGCTGAAGCAACTACAATATGACGGCTGCCGCTACAGGAACTTCTAGTTCATCACCACCACCAGCATCATCACCACCATCAGCAACATCATCACCATGATCACCGGCGTCATCTTCGTCATGTTCATCCTACCCGCCAGGACTTTGCTTGCAAACGCTGCTCGACTTGTGCGAAAGCTGGGCTCGAGTCCTTAATAAGTGAAGCCCGTAGCGTCAATGCAGTGCCATGGCATATGCGCAAGCAGATCTCCGCTCAAGACGCCGCGCGGCAGGAGTTCTGAACAGAGGGGACCACAATACAAACCCCGAATAATAATTGCAATCCTTTTTATTGGGACCCCCAAAACGGAACCCCGAATTTATGGAAACCCCAAACCCTATGTATATATATATATATACATATCCTTATATGCCACTGATATAAGCCTATGAATGCTCTGTATCTCCCTCTAAAAGTACCTTACATTCCCCCCCGTATCCTTTGTATCTCCCTTTAAAGGTACCCTACACCCTGATTTCCCCCACCCCCCAAATCTCTGGCTTCTTGGCACACTGTCAATCTCATCTTGGCCTAGGAGCGCTCATGAAGGTTTAGGGTTTAGGGTTTAGGGTTAAGGGTTAAGGGTTAAGGGTTTAGGGTTTAGGGTTCAGGGTTTAGGGTTTAGGGTTAGAAGCCTAAATGCTTACATGGTCGCATTCCTTGTATACTTATCGTATAGGGTATCTAAACTAGGCCTCAACATGATTGTTGGTAGTCATTAATCCTGAGGCGTGATGACGCTTTTTACAGGTCTATCGGTTCATCGTTTTTTTTTTGCTTTGGTATGAAGATTTATGTCAGTAATTCCTGTGTTCGCAGTCCATAAACCCTAAACCCTAATGGTAGTTTCCCAAAATAAGGGACCCCAATACAGACCCCAAAATACTATAGTCCTTATTATAGGGACCCCCAAAAAATACCCCTAATTTTGGGAAACTCCCTAATGTTCGCAGTGGACACAGGTGGTGGTTTGCACGATGGAAATGATTCACCATGGAGTCCCGGTTCGCACCCGGGAGGCCGTCATGATTGTATTGATTGTGGCTTCAGGTTTAAGGTTTAGGGTTTAGGGTAAGACTACTTGGAAAGCCAAGCCAACCAACATCATGGGTTACTCTTCACCCAACGTAATAGCAGATAAGGAGAAGGTAGACTACAATTTTGGGCCATTGGCTTTCTAGGTAGTAATTGGAAATTTAGGAGAAGGTAGATTATGATTATGGGCCACTGGCTTTCTAGGTAGGTTTGTGGGGTTTGGGGGCAGAATTTTGCAGGCTGAAGTCCTTAAGATTAGAAGACCAGCATAGGGCTTACAGGGGGGGTATATCAGCGGTTTAGTGATCAGAGTTTAGGGTTGAGGGTTTAGGGTTCAGGGCGTAGTTCCGGGAGCAGGGGCTGTTTGCATCGGTTTTTACATGCCCCCTCTGCTGACGCAGTGATATAGGTAATAGCAAGGCGTGTTTCAATAGTCTGGAAAATACTTTCATTGTATGAGTAGATGTGTCATCAGTAATCATAGTGGTTGTGCTGTTGATGCTTGTGTTGCGAGTGCTACTGCTCTTAAAAACTCAAACCAGGCATGGCTGGTACGCGCAGTAGTGGTAGGTGTCACAATAGTCACCCTGAACCCTAAACCCCAAACCCTAAACCCTAGACTTAGTAACAGTAGCAGACAAGTGAGAGTTGTGGCAGCGGCATACATGGAAATCAAGGCAATTCTCTCAATAGAAGTCTACACAGACATGTGCCGCTTACCCAGCTCAATTTAGAGAGAATGGGACAGAAGATGGAGACTATGATCGTGGGTGTTATGTTTCAGGGGTTAGGGTTTGGGGTTGTATAGGGATAATGGAAAAGAAAATGGAGCCTACTATGTTATAATGGGGATTCTTTTTTATAGAGGTTATATTGGGATAATGGAAAATATGAAAATGGAAGCTACTATAATCCATTACGAGACTAGAAAGAGCATTAACCGCATTCAGTGAAATATGCAAGGTGGCAAGAATTACGAATCATGAAATGCTGCCTGTTAATTATTGAATGTGGGATTTCGTTTTTGACTGTCAAGTATCAGGAGAATCCCGCAATGACAGCAACGCCGCTGCAATAGGGATAGCGACGTGATGATTATGAGAATAGCCCGTAGCAGTAACAGTCATCGGGAAGAAGACAGTGAAGATAGTAGAAACGGACATCAAGATGGATGTAACTATCATGGAAATAGTGTTCGACAGCAGCGAGAGTCCTGCAGAAACGACACACGGATCAGCCGCGCACCACAATGCCCATTGTGTAAACTAATCCCCTCCCCCTACTATTAGACCCCCCCACTCCCCCTAACATTAAATACTCCCAATATGTTATAATATACCACCATGAATATCAGGGGGATGGGGTTATACGGAACAGTGTACAGAGCAAGGCAAGCAACCCTTCTTGGAGGTTCAGGGAGCTTATAGCCCAATAATGGCTGTACCTATAACTGAGGCATGTTTATAAAGCCCTTAGTTGCCGATATATATATATAGAGAGAGAGAGAGAGCCCAAGAACTACATTTTCCATGTGATTTTCAGCTGATTTCCCACTATTGCGTTGAGTTTATACCATGTAACCTCCATATGGGCGTCATACATACCCTAAACCCTAAACCCTAAACCCTAAACCAAAACCCTTCGAAGAACCCTTTCTCATATTTACTGTGAGCCTCCACGTTTGCCACCGGGGCTTCCCTCCACCTCATAGGATGGTGGGGGAGTTTATTCATTCTCGGCCTCGGTCCTATGTATATGTGTATATATATATATATACCCTTTAGGGTTTAGGGTTTAGGGGTTTAGGGTTTAGGGTTTAGGGTTTAGGGTGATTCAGATATACATCTGCAGTAACTTGCACGTATCCCCGAACCGTGAACCGTAAACTCCTGTTTCCTTGACTCCCAAGAGAGAACCCTGGGGAAGATCAAGCCCCCGATCTATACGAATTAAAGGCAGCTACGGCAAGGCTTCGCACGACGTGCCGGAAGGTGCCGGGTTCCTGAAGTTTAGGGTCTAGGGTTTGGGTTACTGGGCCCCAGATGGATTTTCCCTATGCCTGGATTAGTGGTTTAGGCAAGCTCACCGTCAAAACCTGTGGCCGTCAACACTCCCTATTAAGCTTAAACCATCTGAAGCCTAAATTCTAAACAACTCCAAGCCCTAAACCCTAAACCCCTCACCATAAACCCTAAACCCTAAACCCCAAACCCTAAACCTTAGACCCTATGAACCCCCAAGGTGCCGGCATCCTTCAGATGCCCCGCGACCTACAGGCCATGGCTTCCAGGGCTTCAGCAAGGGGCTCTAAGAGGGTTTAGGGTTCAGGGTTTCAGGTTTAGGGTTTAGGGTTTAGGGTGAGGGGGTTTCGGGTGGTTTTGGGTGTTAGGGGGCTTCAGGGGGTTCGAGGGGTGTGCAGAGTTAGGAGGGGTTTTAAGGGTTAAGCTTTCGGGTTTGTGGGGGGCTTGGGTTTGGGCGTGAGTGAACGGAGTTTTTGTGGATAGGCATTCAGAGATCGGACACCCGACCTTCTCATCGTATGGTGGGAGGGGCTTAGCATGGCATCCTGTATAGGTCTCCTTTCAAATGGCAATGGGGAAGGTACTGTGGGCAGCTTCAGGAAGAGCACCCTTGACCCTCAACCCTGTTCTTTCAAACTCTAAGCCCATACACCCTAAACCCCTAACAAACCCTAAGCCGCCTAAACCCTAAAAACCCTAAACCCTAAAAACCCTATACTCTAAACCCTAAACCCTGGGAAGCTCCTTAAAGGTCACGTTCCTGCTGCTGTTCATCACTGCAATGTGCCTACATGCCGACCAAAATTTGGCTGCGCCGAATCTGGGCATAGGGTTTGGGGTTTAGGGTTTAGGGTTTGGGGTTTAGGGTTTGGGGTTTAGGGTTTAGGCAGGGTAGGGGTGTAGGTGCCTAACAAGTAAGAAATAGGGTTTCGGGTTGGGCTATATAGGGAATGTTGGCGGTATTGTCCCAATATTTGGATTTCAGCTTCAGGCTTACTCAGACCCTCCAATGTAGTTCCTTTTTGGGTTTGGTATGGTTTTCTGGTTAGGATTCTTATTTGGACTACCAAAAAGGTACTACATTGGAGGGTCCAGGTAGGGTCTTGATGTAGGGTTTGCTGTTTAGAGAAAAGGCTTCAGCTTTAGGATTCTAGGTTTAGCTTTGGTTAAGATTTAGGATTTAGGGTTTAGGGTTTAGGGTCTAAAACGAGCCCTGCTTGAGCTGGGTTTGGGGTTTAGGTTGTTTAGGCTTTTTCGGGTTTCGTAGCCTTGAGATGTTCCCTAAAATTTAAACTTGGTGGGACCCTTAGCAAGGACCCCTCATGCCATTCCCATATACTGCCCTTATTAGTCCTTATATAATCGGAATGCTGTTGATGCTGAAAAATCCTGCATGACCTTAGTGTACTATACTACCATAAATCCCATCCCAAGGTTTACATAATGTACTTAGGGTCATGCAGGATTTTTGGTATCCACCGTAGTTCCAGTTGTTCCTACATTGGCTAAAATTTTCAGCAACAAGGGTCCCCATTGAGGGCCTCTCCTGGCGTGGAGACCTTTGTGGGCATTTAGTTTGGTGATTCGGCTGCGAAAACAACCCAGGAATCTGTCGCAGATCGCGAATGATTTCGAGATGACTCCCATGCAGAAGGACGTACGCACAAGTGTCCCATCATTGAATCATGTTCGAGTGATGTGAGTGGATGGGACGTTGGTGGAAAGTTCGAAGTAACCTGCCATGCATTCGACACAGATTTGGATTTGGGATCGCTTTCCGATTCACTTCGGGCATGTCCGCATTGCATCGATGGTGTTAGTTCACGGTGTGCCCCACTCTCTGTGATTCTTGTTCGGGCAGTATTCAAATTCAAGATCTTGCTCGTGCGTTTGAAGAAGACTGGGTTGCTGTTGTGGATCTTTGATCAACCTACCATGACATGGTTATATGGTAAGTCAGCATAACAGTTTCTTTCTAACGATGGCTACTTAAATTGAGCTTTACAGCAGCAACCCGCACCGACCCCGACATGTTACAAGAACGATCTTTGGAATGGTGATGGACTCCCAGAAGAAGGAAAGCATGAACGCCAATTCAGGGGCGTCCTGGAGATGCTTTAAGTTTGTGGGTATTTTTCTAACCCCTTTCAATAAACAGCTAACGTAATTTTTGTTGAGAGGGTTCCAGGGTAGATGCAGTAATCTGCGATCTGCCCTCTCAGTTTCAAGTTCCCAATCTTAACCCCTCAGTGGTTCCACTCACAACGGCTCTTTGCCGAATACCGGGTCCCATTTTTCCACATATGACATACCGCCCAAAAGCATAGAGTCCTTCATTTTGGCAAGGGCAGGGGGTTCAGAACTCCGAAAAGAGACTCCCTCCCCCAATGTATATGGAAGCCCAAAAGGCCTTCTTCAAAGACTACTGTCCTTCTACAGGGGGCTACATGGGGGTTGTTAAAATCAGGGTCCCTTCTGGGTGCCCAAAAGATCGGGGCAGCATCATGATGGGGACCCCCAAGGAGGGACCATCATTTTGACAACCGATCATCTGGACTTACATTTTGCTTGACGGAACGTAATGCCTGCAGCGGAGGACTCTCGTCTCGGAGGTCTGGTACAGTTCGGTTTCTTCTTGGTTGGCGGAGACTTTGTTGCATTGCTTCGGGTTTAGTAGCAAGCGGATTTCAGTTACCCCAACCCTTGCATTAGGACGCTATTGCAGTCACGTGATAAGTCACATGATAACTTTAGGGTCCTTACTCTAAGCACTGGGAGACTTAAGTCTCCTTGCTAGTAAGGACTTCTCAAGTAGGCCTTGCACTAGACCCTATGTAAGGGCAGCTTGGGGGTTCCTTTGGTAAACCCTCAATTTTTTTGATTTGGGGTTTGCCAGCCTAAAACCTAAAACCTGAACCCTAAACCCTAAATCCAAAAGCCCAATACAACCCCCGTATAACCCCTCTATAACCCCTATGCAACCGGGTTTGCCACCCTAAACCCTTGTGAACCCTAAACCCTAAACCACTTGTTTCGGCACGTGCTGCGTCTGCTGCTGCTGAGGTGCCGTCTCTGTCCTGGTCGGGCCAGCTGCGGACCAGTTTCTGGGTTTAGGGGTTTAGGGTTCAGGGTTCAGGGGTTTAAGATGTAGGGGCTTTTGCTTTAGGGGTTTGGGGGCTTAGAGGTTTGGGGGTTTAGGGTTTACGGGTTTGGTTGTTTAGGGGTGTCTAGGTCACCTTGACATCCAGTTTTATTCCTGTACTAATGCCCAGAAGCCTGAAACAGGAACACAGAGTTAGCATGAACATAGGTTTCATCTTGGATGCTGCCCCCACTCAGTAACAGTTGGATAATAACTATGATATAGGACCCCTAATATAGACTGTTACTGGGTGGGGGCAGTATCGAAGTTTTAACCCAATGAGGAACCAGGTTTCTTCCCTTGAGCTTGGGGAGGGAACCCGGGAATGGATCTCGTCCAGTCCTTACGGGTTTCTGACTTTTGGTGGATTTCTGAAACTTAGGAGCCCTGTTCATGGGAGTCTTTCTAGCAAGGAAATCAAGGTACTAGGGTCTATGTAGCGGCCACCCTGCTTTTCAGAATCACCAGTAGCTTTTCTTTTTGATTCGCACAAAAGGCAGTGGGCACTGTGATATCCTGCTGATGTTGGCTGCTTGTGAGAGTTGCTTGTGTAATCCGCGAAGGTATTTCCCCTAAATGGATACCTACTGTAGTTCCAGTTTACCCACTATGCACCAGAGAGCTTCAAGGCTAGCAGGTGGTAATGTAGAAACTTGACCCAGAGAACAATACGCGGCAGTCTACGAATATGCCTTGAGAAAAATACATGGGGCTTCCAACATGTTTGAAGGAGCGTTTCTTACTTGGGGGTGTTGGCTCCTCTGGGGAAGAGTTGGAAGCAGTGACTCTTTGCGCAGTGATATTATAGGATGGCCAGGACTGCAGACCCTAAACCCATTGAGGCTTCTACCTATACCCCCCCCTTAAGTGTAGAGAATACGGCTTTGGGTATATTATAATAAGACCCTCATATATCCCATATCTATCTACTAAGGGGGACTATAGCCTTGAAGATTTCCCGTACTGTTTGCCAGGGTCGTGTTGCATGCCAACGCTTATCATAGATTTCATGCGAGGACAGTGGTGATGACGATCAGAGTAACACCAGTGGTTGTTGGAACAGTAAGCACATTACTGGTTGGGTGGCTGAATATATTCACACCATCAGTGCAAAGAGTTTTGTATATCAAAGCCCTCTAAACACATTAGAATTGGAATTGAGTGACTGGATCTATTCACATCTTCAGTCCTGTTATTGCAAATTGGCAAGCTGGAAACCACGGTTCCGATGCCCGCGGCAACAACAACGTGTACTAAGACTGAAGAATCCTGAGATGCAGATCGTCCTAACGTTCCTATGGGAATGAGTGAGTGGATCCTGCTACCAGTTTAGTAGTCCGTATATATCTCCTTCAAAATAGTCCCAGAACCCATTCTGCCAGTTCATACTCACCACCCAGACTCTGTACACCAAACGCTGGAAAATGCAGGTGCTTCCATTCCATTTTCTCTGTTCCACCATTCCCTACTAAGCAACCTGGGAGTCCTAGATGTTGCTTGAAAGGTAAGGGGACTTGGTAAGTCGGTGAAGAATAGGAATGACTGGCACTATGATACGGCTCATAGTGGAAACATATGCGTACCAAACCCCCTGACCCTCCAAAATAAAAGGATTGTGGTAATCCCCCCCCTAGAATTAGGGCCCTACACCCATCCTATGATGACGATGTTGTCATTTTTTTGGGGTTTTGGAGTTCAAACCCTCAACTCTAAACCCTAAATCCTCTTATTGCTCCAAGTGACACCAGGTTTGACCGGATCAATGTCCTGTGCTGTGTGGTGCTGTGCGGCTGCCTCCCCTCACTGCTCATGAGCCTGATGGTTCCATCCTCGAAGGCCCGTTCGCAGCGTATTTATGGGGGTTTCCCAAAATTAGGGGTACCATTTTGGGGGTCCCCATAACAAGATTAAAGTATATTGAATGGGGTCTATTTTGGTGGTATTTGGGACCTAATCTTGGACCCTTAGGGTAAGATACGGGTCAAATAGTTTAGGGTTTAGGGGTTAGGGCTCCATGACTGCTCATGAGACTGCTCATGAGCCTGATGATTCCATGTCCGAAGGCCCCTTTTGCACGGGATATAGTCTGACGTAGGGGTTACATTAGGTATACAGGGGTTATGTACGAATTCTATCGGCCTAGTCCTTATGAGGTTTAGGATGGTTTAGGGTTCAGGGTTCAGGTTTATGATACATGGTCCATTTAAAAGACTCGCACATGTAACTGCGAATCCTTCATCTAGAATCATAGAAGCTGAAGTCTGAACGCTAAGCCTGGAACATTTAAACCTGAAGCCACAAACCCTCAACCCTAAATCCGGAACCCTAACCCTACATATCATAGGGGTTGAGGGTTGAGGTGACAGCATGGTGGGTAATCCATGAACAGCGTGTTTTTTTTCCTCTCGTCCTGTGGGGTCTAGCGTCTCGAGTTTGGTCTAGACGATAGAGCTTCGGGTCATAAGGTAATTGGGCACTAGGGTTTTCAAAGCATTCACAGGCTTCGGTTTTTACCAACGTGTTGTTGAACATGCGCTGCTGCTGTTCAGGCTACCAAGCTGCAAGTTGTAGTGGTGTTCGGATGCATTTAGCACGGATCATTGCCATCATCACAATCGCTGTGTGTTCATCCTTCTCGGGTTTTATCACTGGGCCTGTCTGCAGCCTAGACCACAAGCCCGAAACCTAAGCCTTGCACCCTTAGACCCTCCACCCTTCAGCTTTCAATCCCGAAGTCCTGAGCCTAAACCCCAAACCCTCATCTTCTGGGTTACTGTTCAGGCATTTAAACTAAGCTCCCATAATGGGCACATATATAATATATATAGATAGTTATTAACAGGGTTTCGCCAATATAGTAACTTAAATTACGGTCCTCAAATCCCTATATGCCCCCACGCCCCCCCGGTTTCCATTGCATGTTCCACTTCCTTTTCCGTCTGATTCTCCATCATATGGGGATCATATAGTTACGTACATTGAGTTCCTGAACAGCAACCCAGTCTTTGCCAGGCTGGCTTCTTTTACTTCTTCATGGCCAGGATATGCACAGGGGCGGATGCCTCAGCGATTTCCTTGGGCGGTTTCGGGTTTAGGGTTGAGGGTTTACTTCCTACCATGCCTTGTGCGTGCCAAAAACACGGAACACCACCCCCTTCCCCGGGAAGCCATTGTCCGGTTTTCTTTAGCGTAAACCCTAAGCCCAAAACCGGATAGTCTGCTTGCAGAAGCTCCATCACCTGGCGAGACTCATCGCTGGGATTGGGGAGTTGAAGCTGCAGATTTGGTAATGTCGCCAAATTAAGGTTTAGGGTTTAGTAAAATGGTTGATGCTGGAAATTCTGCATGACCTTGTTCTACTCGAATAGCAGAATTATGAAGTTTCAGGGTACTTAGGAACATGCAGGAGTCTAATTGTCACCCGTGGCGGCCACAGGAGGTAGTGGTAATCATACTTGGATACATTTTGAATGTAGAAGGTTGAATGACTAGTGGTATTGTCCCCTGTAATCCTCATTGTAGTAAAATATGCTTGTAGTAAGATATGCCCCAAAAGCTCTTGTTTAATTATGTTGGCCCCTACATTACTTCTCTTACATCGCTATCTGTAGTTTGGAAGGGTTAGCGGAGCTACAGAAGCGGAAAGTTCCTCTGAGTAGCAGCGTAGACGGGGTTAGGGATACTGCAGTCCCCAATGTAGAGAAAGCATGTCCTCCTCTTGGTCGTAACGCCCTAAACCCTAAACCCTAAATCCTAAACCCTAAACCTTTCATAGAAGGCTAGAAACTTAGTTGGCTTGCCAAGAAACACTACTTCTCTGTTGTGTAGTCTCAGGTCGCAATTGGTGGCTCCTTCCCGGATGCTTGGTCTCAGAAGTGTGGCTTTTGTTATTGTTATTGTTACTGTTATTGCTTTTTTCGTTGTTAGTAGCATTGTTTTCGTTATCGTTGACTTGACCCACGGTTCTTCTTAGTGTGTTTATGAATCTCGTTGCTGTGGTTATGGGAGTCATGAGACCATGATTCCCGGCTAGCAGGTTGCACCGACTGCTTTTCTCCAGTCCTTATGACATTTTTTTCTGATATCACGGTTCCTTGCATCCCTGGACCCTAAACTCCTGTGAAAAGGTCCTCTTCGCCTTCTCCGCGGACATATTTCCAGCTTCCCAGCGTGCTCTGATCTCCGGGGCCCTGAATGCAGCGGGCAACATCGGCGCAGCGTTGGGCGGTCTCATGCAACCCGCCTAATGTCGGAGCCTGTTTAAGTAAAGTAGGGTCGGTATCCTACGCTGTAGCCCTGCGAGGACTATCAGGGACAATGCTGGTAATTTTTGGAGATGCCCTAGACCCTAAAACGTAAACCCTTACCCAAAACATCCTAGGTCAGGGGTTGTGGGCCCATCCTATGGCGGCTTGGCTGCACTTCTTTCACGAAGCACGCGGTTCTCAAATGCGCAAACACTTGGCTTAGATGATGGCATCGTATGCTTCTGTGCGTTGCGATCTTGATGTGATGCATTCCAGCATTCCTAATCTCCAAGCGCGATGTTCCTGAAATACCTTGTTATATAAATCCCGCGGCTACATCCTAGTCAGGGAGGCGCCAAGAACACCATCTCAAGCCTCTACAAGGGCTCGTGGTGCCCTAAGCCCTGAACCCTAAAACCCTAAAACCCTAAGCCCCCAAACGTTTAATCGTGTAAACCTTCAAACAAAGGCTGGAGAATGCCATTCACGATCGTAGCTCTGCCGACCCTCGTTTGCGCGGCTCTCGTCCGACTTCTCCTGGCGGATCCCCGAACGCAGCAGAAGGCTCGCGTAGCTTACCTTGCTGGGGCATAGGGTAGGGGTTAGGGTTTAGGGTTTAGGGTTCATTTGAGTGTTTAGGGCTTCGACTTCTACTGTTACCCTTACTGTTACTGCTACTATGACTGTTATGATCATAATCACAAATACAATTACTATTGCTATTACTGTGATGTACTGTGGAATGAAGGTGATGTCATGTGTTTGGAGGTTTTTGAGACTCTTTGGGCTTCCGTTCGGGGACCTCCGTTGCGAAACCCTAAGTATGAGTCCTTACGTTGCTGTATAGACAATGGTCGCTTGTCAAGGTTCAGAGTAGTCATATACAAGCAGCCTGTATTTGCATGTATAACCCATTCATAACAAAGCCCTAAACCCTAAACCCTGAAGCCTAAACCCTAAAAATGTTGCTGGACTTAGGGGACCCTCTTAATTGGATTGTAAGTTCACATGCAATCGGGTTATACGTATCCTGAGGCTCCAAGTAATCAGAGCAACCCATGAAATCATCCGCTAAGGGAGGACCATTCTGAGTGCTCAGCTGAACCAATATATCTTAGGATTCAAGCTTTTGCTTCAACTGCTAAAGCAAGTTACGCAAATGTGTGGTTTGATGGGATATGGATTGGATAACACAAACAGAATTCTCAGAGCGGGGTGACATTTGGGGTCCCTTTTGAAACAGCGATGACGCACGCAATTCCCTTTTGTCGTTGTTATCTATGTGCAAGCACAATAAGGCTATTTTGGTAGGCCCGAACGCCACAACCCCCCCCCCCCACCCCAATTAGGATCCCATTCTGATTTCACGGTATATATATGGTGTTATACGCTCCTAGTTGCAGTGGTTTGGGGTTACCTCTTCTTATCAAACACAAAATCCGATTCTAACCGCTTTAAAACCCTGATTTGAATTTCATCTATCATTTGATTTTCCCATTCTCCTCCCCTCGATTCTCCCTTGAAGGCGTTGGGTTAAAGCAGCTATCATTCAACCCCCTCTCTGCCCGCGCTCCTCTTCATCATGTAACATGAAGTCTCACACAGAAGGTTGCCGAAGTCATCGAAAGCATGGTCCTATTTTGGGTGCCTTGTATTTTGCTGACCATGTTCTACTAGGGACCCAAAGGGGACCATCATGTTGACGATCTACCTCATGGTTTGGAGTGTTGGGGTTGAGGGTATAGCTTTTGGGACTTTAGGCTTGGGGGTAGTGTAGGTGTTGCCACCCTAAACCCTGAACCCTAAACCTTAAACCCTAAACACTAAACCCTAAAACCTAAACAGCTTACAGTGGTGGCCAGATCTGCCAGGCAAAAGCCAAGCGCGAGGAGGTGATCACTAACGAGGCGCAGGAGAAAAAGTGTTTAGGGTTTAGGGTTTAGGGTTTCGGGTAGGTTCTTGGGGTCCGCAGAATCGGGATTGTCGCAGAATACTGTATTGAGGTTTATATCTATACCTCTCTCTATATGTATACACGCTCATATATTGGTGTCCCCCTGTTATTGGATATTCCCAGATCATCCAATCGTTCCTATGGAACAGTATACTTCCAATCCGACACATCATCTGGATTGAATTATCTCTTGGTTCGTCAGGAATCCGCTGTTGAGGGTAAGCCGGGCACATAACAGAAAGCTCACATTCACAGACCACCTTGTAGACGGAGACAGTTAGTTTGGTATGGCATCTTCAGACCTAAGCAGCCGCGGTTTAGGGTTTAGGGTTAGGCAGGGGAACGTAGCAAGATGTAGCAAGTTCTGGTGCCACAGAAACCGCAAAGGTCAACCCTGGGAAAGAGGCTGCAGATAGTGGAGATCTTCTTGAAGGTTCATGAGTAATCATAAGGGGGGGGGTATACATAGACAAATTAACGTTTTGGATGACGTATAGCCCAGCCTATCACAGGCAATTAGCTTTCTTGTAACATGAGTAAGGTAAGTATGCATTTTTCTACCCTAAACCCTAAACCTTAAACACCCAAACCCTAAACC